ACAAGGTTAAGGAAAAAGTAAATTGGGAATGTAGGTCAATGCTAAAGTTTCTCATACTGCGGCAGCTTTACTTTTTTTTCTTGTGGAAAGGTATATGGCTTTTCACATCTGTTATCATGTGAATCGTGTTGGTTTATATCCACACTTAATCCCTGGGACTTCTTTTTAAAAGAAATGGATTCTTTATTGAATTTTTAAATATAGTGTCACATTATAAAAAAAAATTAAGCCCTCACTGTTCCCTTATGGCTGATGATATGAGAAAAGAGTAGAACTCTATTCTTGCTCTCAGTCTCCTCCGCTTCTGATGGATACAGTTGGGGGTGGGGGGAGGAGTCCTTTATTTTCATGTTGCAGTCAATGCTGCAATTCTCTTCCATAGTTTTCTGGAATCAGAAAACAGCACTTGCGTGATCCCCCGAACAGCAGCAGGTTCCATAATAGCAAGCCGAGAGACTGTCTGCCCTGTGGGCCTGGTTGAGGCAACTGCTCTTTGCCTTTCTTTACAGAATGCAAAATATTTCCAGGGGATTCGTGCCGCAGTCAGCCGAGTGAAAGAAAGAGGGGAGAAAGCCATTGTTCTGGACATTGGGACTGGGACGGGCCTGTTGTCCATGATGGCGGTCACCGCTGGAGCCGATTTCTGCTATGCTGTAGAGGTGAGCCTCACCCCAACTCGTTCTCACAGGCGCTTTAGGGATCTGTTAGGCAGGAGGTACGTCCCGGCAACCAACTTGTCAGAAAAAATTACAGCATCAACAACAGTCTCTATAAAAGAGAAGATGTGGGAGATCTTTGATCCAGCCTTCACAGCGTTCTCCCCATTTTGAAGCAACCCCATCTGACTGTGGTTTTCATTCAAGGAGAAGTGACACACTTCGGGTCTAAATGGATGCTGCTTGCAGTAGTTGATGTTACTCGTTGGAGCGCCTTCAGAACATCACCCCACACCGCCCGATCAACACAGGCTGCACTCCTCCAGGTTGCCACTCCAAGAGAGGCCAGGAAGGCGTTCACAAGAAACGGGGCCCTTTTACCTGTGGCATCGTCCCTCTGGAATGGAGCAGCCCCTGGCCCCCTCCTTCCCTGCCTTGAAGAGGATGTTAAAAACAAGGCTCTTTCAAGAGGCCTTTAAGGGCATTCTTGGCTAAGTGGTTTCCAGATTTTGCCACCGTCTCACTAGTGTTTAAATCTAGGTGAGCTTACACCTAGCTGTTTTGCTCCTTGCCCGATGTTATTGTTTTTATTTGTTTCTGTTTGACAATATAATGTTTTGTTTTCTATATTGTATAGTTTATTGACTGCCTCTTGGCTGTAAACCAAATAAATAAATCTGTGGATGTAGGGGAGACGTCTGGGGACATGCCCTGCTTTATCCATAAAAACTGGTTGGTGAGGGATGGGAAGGCATCTGGAGTAAGGCGTTTCGAGCACCACGCAGGGTTGCACAAGAAGGAAATAGGGGTGAAGTCCTGACTTTGCTGGCCTTCTCTGCCAAAATTTATCCTGCTGAATCTTGGCCGTTGTTTCCCTGGCCCACCCTAACTCATCACGGGCCACGATTCATGATGATGATGGAACTAAGCTGTTTCTCAGTGCTGTTTTAATGATTAGTGAGATAACCTGTACAAAAATACCTTGATTGGTTGAAATGCACTATGTAAGCGCAAAGGATTGTTATGTTGTAGGTCTTCAAGCCTATGGCTGAAACAGCTGTGAAGATCGTGGGGAAAAATGGCTTTAGTGACAAGATAAAGATCATCAACAAACACTCCACGGAAGTCACAGTGGGGCCTGGTAAGAGACAGAGGGAGTCTTTTTCTCATGTGGCATGGAGCAAAATTGTATTTTAAAAAAAAATGTATACCACCTTGTAAACATCTTTCCAAGATGATTTGCATAAAAAAATTACTGAAGTTACCGACCAAAGGCATCTCTAAAATCATCTGTTGAAATATACAAAATCTGCTGCTAAGAACAGATTGATTTTAAAAGCCCGGGAGAGTAAATACTGTACATTTGTCTGGTGAATAGCTATGTGTTCTGCATCTGTGCCAAGTGAATATTTCTGTTGGTGTTAGGGGAATCTCCTTTTAAAGGGTGTTTTTGAGTATAGCTCCCAGAATTACCCAGCCCCAAATACCTGCAGAATACCTTCATATTCTTGTACCTGAGTAACTTCTAACAGAATGCGGGAAGGCTGCTTTAATCACCCCCTGCCAGCCTCATTTCTTCTGAACTTTTCCAGCCCCCATCCAGGAGATGAGCACCTCCTTGCCTTCTGCACAGATGAAGCAGCCGCTGTACGGGTATTGCCGATGGCTGTGTTCTAATGATTCATCTAGAGCTGAAAGAGTGTAGCAACTTGCCTAAAGTGACCCAGTGAGCCTCCTGACATGTAGCATTTGAATGTGGCTTTCCTATCTTTAAACCCTACCTTGTAGCCTCAAATGAAACGGATGCCTAAAATGCTTAGTCTGGCATGTCTTTCCCACTTTGAGATTTCTGGGCATTGGCTTCAGCAGAGGCTCACTCTGTCCTATAGTTTGGAAGAAGAGAAGGGAACTGTGAAGAGAAGCCATCTGTCCAGAAGAAATGAAAGGCAGCGTCATTCTCTGCCCCCCACTCGCTGATGCTCAAATGTGTTGAACTGATCACACACAGGAAATTGCACACGGATTCAGTTGGTGATGATTTTGGAGGAGCGTTTCACATGTGTTCCAACCAACAGGGGTGGGGGCTTTTAAAAAATTCTAAATCAATCCCTCTTGCTTTTCAGACGGAGACATGCAGTGCCGTGCAAATATCCTGATAACAGAGCTGTTTGATACTGAACTGATAGGCGAAGGGGCTTTGCCGTCTTATGAGCACGCCCACAAGTTCCTTGTGCAGGTAAGGAGTGAGCAGACGAGACCTGACACATTTCCCCCTGTTAATCATTATGCAGTGCGGCAACATTGCTTAGAGCTTCTGCATCCAAACCCAAGCAGAGATGATGGTGCCCAACCTCTGTGAGGAGAGAAATGAAAAGGAGTTGGAGGAGGAGGAGAACAAAGGTTAGATCCTTTGGTAGAATTTATTTGCAGTCCAGTTCCAAGCGTCTTGTCAAAATCTTGTTTGCGCAACTACATGGGCGCCACTTGACATGGCACCCATGGTGGTAATTGATAGCACCAAGGTGAAGGTTCTATCTACAAAGCATTTCTGCCAGCATATTGCACCATTGATCATGCCAGGAATGGGTGGCTGATCACCCAACAGAATCATGCAATTCCTTGTTGCCATGCGTAACACTCTGTACTTCTAGGTAAAGGTAAAGGTTCCCCTTGACATTTAGTCCAGTTGTGTCTGACTCTAGGGCACAGTGCTCATCCCTGTTTCCAAGCCGTAGAGCCAGCGTTTGTCCGTAGACAGTTTCCGTGGTCACGTGGCATGCTTTCGAACTGCTAGGTTGTCTGGAGCTGGGACAAGCGATGGACACTCATTCTGTTGCGTGGATTCGAACTTATGACACTGCAGGTCTTCTGACCTTACAGCATGGAAATAGAAAAGATCGTCAGGTGTCAGGATGTGTCCCTGGAGACCGACATCATCCACACTCATGTATTTCCAATCACCATGTATGGGTATGAAAGCTGGAGAGTGAAGAAAGCTGGGAGGGGGGAAAATGGATTCAATTGAAATGTGGTGCTGGAGGAGAGCTTGGACTGGCAGAACGATGGACAAGGGGGTCCTAGAAATAATCAAACCTGGACTATCTCTGGAAGCGAAAATGTCGAGATGGAGGCTGCTCTACATTATAGTCCAGGACCGTTGGAGGGCAATGAATCGATACCTGCTCTCCTCTATATACGGCACATGGCCAGTCTCCTCTTGCATACACAGATCATTCTAATGTGACCACTTTATTTCCAGTCTGTCTCCTGCTTTAAATAGTTGATCAGTGGTATTGCTGGACTGGGTGATATGTGTGAAAAGTCATTCAGTGTGCACTTTGAAATCATAGCTCTTAGATTGGGGAGATTCGCCGTGACCATAAAAAAAGATCACAAGCTCCACACGTTAGCCTCAAAATATGGGTTACAAGAGGACAGCCTTCCTGGGGTGGTCACCCTCCGGTTGTTCCCCGTTGCCGTTCCTATCTCTTGTGTCCGTTGCTGGCTGAGCTTGGAGATGTTCCTTTTCTTGGACTACAACACCCAGAAGCCCCAGCCAACATGATAATAGGAGTTGTAGTCCAGTCCCTTGAGAGGGCACTGGGTTGCTGCCTGCTCTTCTAAGAGAAGAGAGTATAATGGTGGGTGTTTGGAATAGGGACACAGAGAGGCAGAGAACGGCAAGAAAACTCCATTTAGGACTCATGTCATTTGAGAAAGGATAAAAAACAAACAAACACAAGAAAGATTTTTTTACACAGTTTATTTTATTTTTGACCTATAGGATTGCCCTAATGGGTGGTCCCTGCCGGATGCCCAGAGGAAGGCGAAAAACCTCCAGGACCTCCGGCCAATTTGCCCTGGAGGAAAATTCCTTCCCGACCCCAAATGTGGCGATCAGTGTTACCCTGGGCATATCAGCAAAGACCATAAACAACCACCCGGCCGCTGGCACAACATCCAGAGACTCCCTCAGCAACAGCCCTGCTGGTTTGAACGTCTGAGAGCTGGAACACAGGAAAAGCTCTGTGTTACCTGAAAGATTAATAAATGTCTTCTGAAATGCCATCTTATCCCGTATTTCAAACCTAAATAAAAAAAAAGAGAGAGAAAGAAGTTCAAGGACAATCTACAACTTCAGAAAATTACTACATTCTCCCAGAATCCTGCATCCACCTTACAAGGAGGAGGTGGAGATTTCAGTTCCAAATGTCATGATTCTGACTGGACGCAACCATCTTCATGATTTTTATGGTGATTAAAAACACTTGAAATAAAAAGAATGAATTACCTGTTCCTTCCTTCAAGGTGATTGAAGTGGTGCAGAAGTTTCAGCCAAATTTCTAATTCCTATTCCAGATTCTCTGAGGGCGATGAGATAAAGGTCTTCTAGAGTTTCATCAAATCTAATCAGTCAAACCTAAAAAGAAGTTAATCAATTAAAATTAGAACTTCAGAAGTTTAGTGCATCTGAGAATCATGCATTAACCATGCCAGTGGGATTTCAGGATTGGAGTACCAAAATGCAAGAATTCAGAATAGAATTATTTAACATGATTAATTATTTGAAAAACCTTGGAAATACATTGAATTACTTACCCCAAGATGATGCACAGCAGGTCACTTTAATTTTGGAAATCATTCAGTGTTCGATGTCCGTTTCAATCATCACGATCCGAAGATAAAAAAGATGTGTTGATGGCCTGCTGGATAATTTGGGGAGGAAGAGGCATTTTTCTTACCTGATGATGAAAGTGAGTGACTT